CATGTACAGCCAAGAGTGAGAAGGACTTGTCTGAATGAAACAGTTTGGGGGTCGGGGGGAGGCAAGTAGTCAAGGTGAACACACACAGAAATGTCTCTAATCTGATTAGTTCTTGCCACCAAGGAGAATTTCTTCTAGTGTTTTCTTGGCTCCACTTAAAGATAGTAATTTTGAGCTATAGGCCAGCTGGTGGCATGGTGGTTAAGGCGGGCTAGATTCCACATGGCTGACCACGTGGTTCCAGTTGTGGACCTGGCTACTTGAGAAACATGCTGGGTACATGAGCATGCATGCCCAAAATCCCAAGAGAAGATTGGTGAAGAAGGGATTGTTGTGTGGCTATCCTCTTGGGCTGCACTTTCTCACTTTCTCTCACTCTCCAGTGAATGCCCATTCCCTCTAGCAAAAATTAATAATAGTAAGCTGTTAGAAATTAAGTATTCCTGAGCCTTTTTCACAGATGAGAACCCAAAGGTACTGGGAGATTAACTGACTTGGCCAAGATGGTATTAGTCATAACCAGAGTTCTAGTCTCTTCACCCTGGCCAAGGCTCTTTCCACTAAGCTCTTTGACAGGATGAAGAAAATGCTCTAGACTGACCGTCAGTGGGACAGGACTATGGACAGTTTTCTGCTCTTTGTGGTAAAGGAGCCCTGGTCTCTCCTAACTCTTGCTCAGTGTCCTGGGATGCAGGAATTCAGATATTGCAGATACCAGTGCCGTAGGTGGAATAGGCCAGCTGGCTCACTTGAGAAGCAAACCTATGACTTTGGCCTCCTCGATACAGTGACTCCACTCATGGTCTCCCAGCAGAGCACTGCAACACTTGAGCATATTGCAAAGATGCCCAGGATATGGAGCAACATCTGTTTTCTTCATAGGAGGGTCTTCACTCCACCATGTTGCTAATCAGTGCGGTCTCAGCATGCAACTGATGTGCTGATGACTCCCCTTAACAGTCTGTGGAGAGGAACAATATTAGGAGAAAAGAGCCATATAAAGTTCTAGAATGAGTTTCGGAAATCTAAAGACATTATTAAAAACACAGATTACAGGACCAGCAAGTGGTGTGGTAGATAAGGTGCCGAACTCCCACATAGCAGATCATGGTTCGAGTCCTGGACCTGGGGCCTTGCTTTCTCACTTTCCCTTTTTCTCTGTCTCTCTCTCTCTCTCTCTGGTCAAATTTTAAAAATAATAATAACAAATAAAATAAATAATTTAAAAAAGCACACACACAGATTACAGGCACCACCAGCAAGTGGTGTGGTGGTTAAGGTGCTGGACTCCCACATGGCTGACCATAGTTTGAGCTCTAGACCTAGCAGCTTGCTTTCTCCCTTTCTCTCTCTCTCCCTTTCTCTCTCTCTTTGTCTCTCTGGTGAGTGAACATGCCCTGTAGCAAATTAAAAATAATAATAATAAATTAACTAAATAATTCTTTTAAAAAATACAGATTACACAGAAGTCATTTGTAGTAAGGTACTAATGTTATTCATTTAAAGAGAGTTTTTGTTCTCCAATTTCCAGAAACGATTACAAAAAAAATGTTACTGTAGGGTTTGTGACTTGAGATGCTTAGAGCAGCCTCTTAGCAGTAGAAAGCAAAGCTTCTTCGAGAGTTTTATTTATGTACTTTCTCTAGCCCGTCACTGTAACAAAAGTACTCCCAAAAGCCACAGAGTGGCCTGGACTGAAAAAATTTGGAGAACCAAACTCTAGCCTTGGGTACAGAGTGAGACCTACTTAATCAGTCCAGTAAGCATTGTAGCAAAAGCATATTCATAATAGAAACATATGCATTTTCTGTATTTTTCTAACAGCTTCTGAAGTGTTCATCAAGCTTGTGTCTGATTAAGCACTTTTAAATTCTGAGCAATGAAATGGGCCCTCTCATACCCTCTTGGCAGGAGTGCAAATTGATACAACCCTTTTGGAGAGCCATTTGGCTGTATCTATCAAAATTAAAAATGCATATAATCTTTGACCCAGAAATGCCACTTCTGAGAATTTATTCCACAGAAATACTCCTACAAATCCACAAAGTATACATAAAATGTTGGTTCTTTGCAGTTTATTAATAATTTGTTATAGTGCAAAACTACAAGCCACCCAAGTTCATCGACAAGGAATTAGTTGGATAAACTGTAGTTCATCCATAAAATAGAATACAAAGCCAAGGTTAAGTTGAATGAGATACAGCCACATGTATTCACCAGAGAAATGGCCACACACAGAGAAAAATTACTTCCAGGAAAATGGAATGTTTCCATTTTTATAAAAATGACCAAGTAAGGTAGCCATGGAGCATATCTCTGGCCAGTGGGTTCAGATGTTGGGCTCCTCAATAGGATTAAAAACCTTGAACTGCGGGTCAGCAGGTGCTGTGGTGGTTGAGGCTGTGGACTCCCAGATGGTCAACCATGATTTGAGTCCTGGACCTGACACCTTGCTCTCTCACTTTTCCCCTCTCTCTCACTCTCTCTGGTGAGCACGTGTGCCTTATAGCAAACAACAACCAAAAAAAGTAGTAAATAAAATAAAATTATTTTTTAAAAAAGAATTGTTACCTTTATTTTATTTATTATTATTATTATTATTATTATTATTATTATTATTATTATTAATTTGACCATAGCAAGGAACACAGAGAGAAAGAGAGAGAGAGAAAGCAAGCAAACAAGTCACCAGGTCTGGGACTCTAACTGTGGTCAGCCATATGGGAGTCCAGCATCTTTAACCACCATGCCACCTGTCGACCCATAAATAGTTCTTAAAAAGAAAAAATCTTGAACTATAAGTGAAATAATTTGGGAGTCTCTACTCAGTTCATGAACTCATCCTCTATTCTGGCTCATCCCTTAGATCAAAGAACTAAAGATAATTCAGTTCAAAATACAGATACAAGATTCCGTACTGAATTATAATGCTATGTAAATATTTTTAAATAGTGACTCTTCCAGATTTCCAAAAAGCATTTGTCTGAGGAGAAATTCTGAGGACTAGTTTTTTACTGCATAATCACTTGGTCGGGCTCATCTTTTCCTGTTTGTATATTTGAATTGTAGATCTTAAATCTTTATATTCAAAGACCACTGTCAAACCTTCCTCACAGCGCCAGCAATAGAGGAGGTCTGCCTTAATTCCATATAAGCAGTAAGGTTTTAGAGTACCCAGTGGAGCCCAATCTGAGGTATATCCAACAGAAATCCCCAAATCTCCAAAGGGTCTGCTATCGAGTTGTTGTTTTGGGCATGTGCACTCGTTGAACAGACAGAGAAACAGAAAGCGAGAAATCAACACCTCCTCTTCCCATTTCCCCCAGGGGAATGGCCATACCACAATCCCTTCTCCTCCATTCTCCTCTCAGATCTTGGCATGCATACACAAGCACCCAGTGTGTTTTAAGTCGCTGGGTCCAGGACTCGAACTGTAGTCAAATACATGGAAGTCCAGTGACATAACCATTATTTCAACCAAATGTTGAAAGCCCAGATTTCATTCTTTGTCATGGCAGAGATGCCCAAAACAAAAGCAATTCTGCTGGGACTTAGTATTCCATGGTTTGTCACAGGAATCTTACTCCTTTTCAGTTTTACTGAGAATATTTGAAATAGACTAATGTAGATTATGATTGTAATCAGTTTTATTATAGTTTGGTGAATATTCTTCCCTCATCACACCTCCATGGGAGGAGTAAATACTCTTCCCTGCCCCCTTGAGGTTGGGTTTAGCCAGTGGAGGTGAGTAAATGTGAAGTAAGCAGCAGCCACCCAAGAAGAGTCCACAGTGCCCATGGCTTTGGGCACCACTGGCTTCTGGCTGTGAGCCCAGATCCCTGAGATTTGCTGAAAATATCTGGATGACTTTTTGGGGTTTTGGTTTGGTATGGGGCTTTTTTGTTTTTGTTTTTTGGGTTTGCTATAGGGTGTGTGCATTGGCCAGGAAGAGAAGGAGATAGAGAAAAGTGGAAAGTGAGAAATCACCCCCAAAGGGGGATGTCCATGCCTCAACCCCATCTCCTCCATTCTCTTCTTGGGATTTTGGGCACATGCACCCAGCATGTTTTTCAAGCCTCTGAGTTTCGGACTAGAACTCTGTAGTCAGCCATGTAGGTCCCAGCCACCTTAACCTCCACGCTACCTGTTGGCCCTGGATGACCTTTCTACTGCTCTTTCCACATCTTATGAATATAATTCTTCACACTTTATCTAGTTGATCATTAAATGATTTCAAGTTCCTGGTCAGGATTTAAATGTTGCCAAGAGAGTTAGAAACAGGAGTGAATGAAGACTGTTCATCGGCCTCTTTCTTCCTCACAAGCAATTTTTCTAACGATGCAATTACGCTTGAGAGCCGTAGAGAACAGAATTTTATGTTTTATTTCTTTATTCATCATTTTACAAATGGGATTCACTGTACAAAGGAAATTGTCTTTGTGGATCAGTTCTTCAGGCTAGAGAGGTCTGAGCTCCAGCCTTAACACCAGGTGCTGCTGCCACTGCCACCACCTCGGTTTTGGTGGGTGACAGCCAGCCAGGGGGGGAGGCTAAGAATTCAGGCAGAGCTCATGTAAATTCAATATATTTTTATTCTTTGTAAATACAATGAGTACAACCTTTTAACTTCACAAATCAGTTAATTCACTTTGTACAAGAAAAGTTTTACTCATCCTATGATAGTCCAAGTGCTGAATTTTTCTCAGTGCTAGTACCTAATAAATCAAAACGTGAAAAGTACAGCAGCTATTCAAAAATGTTTGTCTCTACGTTTCCATAAGTATAGATTCATACCAAAGGAGCAGCTTATAGTGTAGGATGATGCGTGTGTGTGTGCGCGTGTGTGGGTACATGTGTGTGCATTCAAGGCTTTACTAAACACCAGTTTCAGAAAGGTATTGGAGTCTCAGGCTGTTAGCAATGAATCAATTCAGAAACTTGGCAGCGTGCATCTTAAGTTCCTCCTGGCATCGTGTCCATGCTCGTGTACTGGTATAGATTCATACCAAAGGAGCAGCTTATAGTGTAGGATGATGCGTGTGTGTGTGCGCGTGTGTGGGTACATGTGTGTGCATTCAAGGCTTTACTAAACACCAGTTTCAGAAAGGTATTGGAGTCTCAGGCTGTTAGCAATGAATCAATTCAGAAACTTGGCAGCGTGCATCTTAAGTTCCTCCTGGCATCGTGTCCATGCTCGTGTACTGTCCGGTGTGGCTCGCCGAGCCACGAATAGGGACCCCCATTGCCTTTGGTTTCAGCACTATGTTAACAGGACAGCAATCTACCTCACTCAGTCACTCATTTCCACTTTATTTGGTTTTGCTGATTTTATTCACCCTCCTTCCACTTGTGTTCTTTTAGTAAAGCTCTTCTATTTTTGAGATGTTATCCAACCTGAAGTCCTGGTGAGAATCTTGTTTTCCTCCACCAATTCCTTTGACAAGGTTGCCTGGCCTATGGTATTTTCAAAGGAAAGAAAGGAAGGAAGAGAGAAAGAAAGACAAAAAGGAAAGAAAGAACAGAGGAAAGGAAAGGAAAAAGAAAATAGAGAAAAAGCAAATCACAGCATAAGCTATTTTCACTTGTTAACTCACTTCTGAAGGCCACTTAATGATGTATTACAATAGAAGGGAAACTTTTGATAATACTTTTGATTTAAAACCTAACCATTATTTTTAAAATAAATGCTCCAACATGACATAGTTCTGAAGGCTGCAGTACGATGTTATATACAGAGCTGTATTTGGTTACCCAACTTTATATGCTAAAAGGGAAAAGAGCACTAGTTGTGTTTCAGCATTTAACGGTTCAGCCTAATCTTCCAGGTAAGAGGCAGAATAGCATGGCCTGTGGCAACCCCCCATTTGCCCACCTCCCAGGGCATGGCAGCCATGTTTTTCCACTCAGCCAGTCCTGTTTCTTCCCGGCTGCCCAGTCCTGGTTGAGGCAGCAGGTCATCGCTACTGGAACTGTTTTGTGTCTATTGGCATTTTTCCTGAAGGCTATGCATTCCCAGATTTATGCTTCCTGATGGGTTAGTCAAGGCTTGTTCTCCATGGGTAGAAGTTCATCTGATACTGTCCCATCCCGAAAAGAGAGTACTTAGATGTCACTGGATTTGTACATATCTGAAAGCAGTCTTGTGATTGGCACATTGCCGATGGTTTTTTTGAAAAACACTTCTTCTATGGTTGATGGACTAATAGAACGTAAAGCTGGCAAAAGCAACAGGAGTTTTCCAAAGCGACAGGGTTGAGTGGGATATCTGGAATATGAGAAGCCACGAAAGCAAAGTCAGAGTCCATTTCTAATGGGAGTTCATATCTTACATTCGAACACACATCACGTCAGTAGGGTTTCCTGATTCAGGCCTCTCAAATAACATACTCCCCCTGCAGGAGCCCTAGACAGGCACCCCTGTCCTGTTTTACAGGTAGAATGCTTGAGGCACGAAGAACCTAAATGATGCTGCCAAAATCACCTGGTGACTTTACATTTGCAAAGGAGCTGCATTTTGTTCAGAGAAAAAAACAGTTTTAAGAAACATGACACTAAAAAAAAAAAAAAAAAAAAAGAAAGAAACATGATACTAATTTTAAGCCAAATAATGAATTTAAGGTTACCATTGTAGAAAACAACTAGGGTGTTGATGATAAATGATGAACATGTATCCAGTTGATGTTGATGATGAAAACACAGATTCTAGCAATAGAATAATGGCATTTCTTGAGAGGTTGGAAGCTGCATAGTTCCCAGGCCAACCTGAACACTCTGGGCAATAGCTAATTGGGAGGCTGGGGCAGGAGGATCACGACACAGCAAGACCTTGTCAAAATGGCTATCTTTGTCTCTCTTTCCCCTGTTCCTCTCTCTCTCCCTCTATTTCTCTTATAAAAAGGAGGGGAGGGAAGAGTTCCTTTTTCTAAGCAATTCTCCAAATTATTATTCAGGCATTACACTTAGCCACTCTCGGGAATAATTCTATCCTTATTACACTGCAAATTAAAGACTAAATTCTGTTGGGTGGCACTGCCACCCAACTTTCATGTCAATGAAATTGGCATATAATTAAAGATATGAGAAGCTGCTTAACAATTCCTTCTCTTGATGTCCAACATACATTTGTGCTCAGATAGGCAAGTTCAATTTTCCACTGTCTTTAGATGCCTACAAGCCACCTCCTCACTACTAAATAAGTCCTGATGCTTATTCAGTCAGTAGCTTGGAATCAGGTATTAATACACTCAATAAGGAGCACTCTCTACACTGAAGCAAGTCACCTAAAAAAAAATAATAATAAAAAACCAAACAAACAAATAATAAAACAACGAGCTCCAGGGACTCATATCTGTAAACCAAGTTCAACCTAGGTCACAAAGTGCTAGAAACTAAGGGATATCAAAATTCCTTCAAAGAAATTAGGTAGCTGTTTCTAACTACCTTGATACACTCCATCCTGCACTCAGGAGGGCAGCTTTCAAACTTGTCTCTTAGCTTTGGACACAGAAGAGTCCCTCTCTTCAACTGGGTACAAGGCTTATAACTCATTCTAAACCTATAAGGCCTTTATTTGGCTCTTTCACTGCCTGGCTTTATGACTATCCATGGACAGGGGCCATCAGAGCACCATTAATAATGTAGACCACATGTAGCCCTATGGCCTGGTGATTAAGGGAGCCAGATCTCACATGACTAACTGCATAGTTTTAAGTCCAGTCCCAGCTGCTTGAAAAACATGCTGGGCGTGTGTGTGTGCCCTAAATCCCCACAGGGTGAAGAACTGGTGGAAAGGAATTGTAGCCACCACTGGGGGTGCTTTCTCCCTCTCCCTCCTTCTTGTCCCTCTGTCTCTTTCTGGAAAGCGTATGCACCCTTGGGCAAATTAAATAATAATGATAATGTAATCTGGGAATGATGAAGCTACACTGGAAAGACAAAACAAACAAAACCCCTAAATCCCACCACTTGCTCTCCTTGCTGAGTGCATTTCCCACATCTCCTGGAAAGTAATCCTCAAACCCATGCCTCCCTTTCAGTTGGCCACTTCCTCTCCCCATCAGCTCGGTTTCCCTTTCCTGGATCAGGCAAAGCAGAGATAGCCCTGCAGTGAGTTGAAGCAGAGGCTGACTAACAGTCTCCGCCATATCTGCAGCATCCACCCAACATGCTGAATATTTCCCAGGGTCAGAAACCACTGTGGGAAATACCCAGTTTCATCGAGGATAGATTCGAGGGAACCCATAGACTATTAACTCTGGAGTTTTTGTGAATAGGCTATCCACTCATCTACTAATGCACTTCTGTTATTCTCTAGTTGGGAAAGGGCCAGTTAGTTAGTCAACAAAAAATAACGACCAATTATATGTGGAGTACTGTACTATCCAGAAACAATAACTGTGTGTGTGTGTGTGAGAGAGAGAGAGAGAGAGAGAGAGAAAGATAGAGAGAGCGAGAGCACATGCATCAGTGTCTGTGAGAGAAACTGTTCAAAATTACCATTTTTTAAAATTTGTTGTAAGATGGGACCAGCAGATAGCATAATGGCTACGTCGCTGGACTCCCAGGTAGTTGACCGTGGTTTGAGTCCTGGACCCAGTGGCTTAAATTCATGCCGGGTGCGTGTGCATACGTGCCCAAGATCCCAAGAGGAGAATGGAGGTGAAGGGATTGCGGGTGGCCATCCCCCTTGGGGGGTGATTTCTCGCTTTCTGTCTCTGTGTCTCTCTCTGTCTTTCTGGCAAGCATATGTGCCCTATAGCAAAAACCTCTCCAAAAAAAAAAAAATGTTATAAGATACACGCACTTAGAGACAGAAAAAGAAAGAGAGAAAGAAAGAGAGAAAGCACTCACCAAGGCATAAGAACATGATAATCCCTTCTCCTTCACTCTCCTTTGGAGGTTGTGGGCATGTTATTGGTGTGTTTTTCAAGCTGCCAGGTCCAGGACTGAAACCACACAGTTGGTCATGTGGGGTCCAGTCATCTTCACCACTATGCCACCTGGTTGGCTCTCCAAATTATGTTTACATTAGCCCTATAGTACAGTGGTTAAGCACTTTACACAGGGAATCATATCCCACATGGCTGACCATGGTTCAAATCCCAGCCCTAGTGGCTTGAAAATTATGTCAGGTATATGTGCATGTGTGCCCCCAAATTCTAATGAGATGAAGGTATGGAGGGAAAGGGACCGTAGTGTGACCACACCCATTAGGGGTGCTCTCTCTCGCTCTCCGGTGAGCACACACACCTTCTGGCAATTAGAAAATTATTTTTCATAATATCTGGGACCAGCAGTTGGCATAATGGCTATGTAACTGGACTCCCATGTTCTCGATTGTGGTTTGAGTCCCAGACCACTGGCTTAAACTCACAGCAGGTGCATGTGCGTGCATGCCCAAGATCCCGAGAAGAGAATGGAGGCAAAGGGATTGTAGAGTGGCCATCCCCTGGGGGGTGTGATTTCTCACTTTCTGTCTCTCTATCTCTTTCTAGTGAGCACACGTACCCTATAGCAAAATAAAAAACTCAAAAAAATAATAAATCTATGCCCCTAACTTCATCAATTGATATGAATGACTGGAAGTGTCTTTTGGGGTTTAGTGTTTTGACTCAATCACAGATTTATGTACTTGACCTTTAATTATAACATGAACTTTGTGTGTGTGAAATGCCCATTCCTAGCCTCTCCTTATGTCTTAGAGAGATTCTTACAGAGTTGTGACATACCATTAGCACAGTTTACACATGAACTTTTTAAAAATTATTTTATTCCATCTTATTCATTGTCATTATTTTATTTTATTTGTTTAAAGTTGACCAGAGAGAGACAGAGAGATAGGTAAAGTGAGAAATCAAATTGCTAGGTCTGGGACTCGAACCGTGGTCAGCCATGTGGGAGTGTCCAGCGCCTTAACCATCATGCCACCTGCTGGCCCCAACATGTTAACTTTTTTTTTTTTGGAGAGGTTTTTGCTATAGGGCGCGTGTGCTCGCCAGACAGACAGAGAGAGACAGAGAGATAGAAAGCGAGAAATCACTCCCCAGAGGGGATGGCCACACTACAATACCTTCTCCTCCATTCTCCTCTCGGGATCTTGGGCACGCACGCACACGCACCCGGTGTGAGTTTAAGCCACTGGGTCCAGGACTCGAACCACAGTTGACTACGTGGGAGTGAGCAACATAGCCATTACGCTAACTGCTGGTCCCCCAACATGTTAACTTTTCATTTCAACTTCAGATTTTATTTTTCTAGATAAGAAAGTGTTTAAAGAAAGAGTATTCACTAGTTTGAATAAGCCAAGAAATAAGACAGTCATTTTGTCATATCTATGACACTAAATATTAATATTAAATTATAACTATACCTGACAACATGAAATAAAAATTCCATGTCAGAGTTAATTATTTATGAGTTCCTTCCAAGAATAATCTTGTTTGTGGGATGGGGGTGATGTAGCATACCTGCCTTTTCTCTAGAATACACTATTGTTCATCTATGGTTGAACTCTCCCACATTACCGTCAGCAGCTCCTGGCAGGCCAGACTTACTCAGGCTTCCCTGTTCCCCTCTCTACTAACTCCCAGAGCAAAGATGACCAGTTCCCCCAGTGGCTCTCACTATCCCTTTCTTCCCTGCTGAAATCCTTCTTCCATTCATGGACCAACTCAAGGATCAACATTGTCTCCCTCATCAATCAACCTTTCCAGATTTTCTCTCACCCTGTCCAACTGGAATTTGCCACTCCCTCCACCCACTTTGCTTTTCTCTCATCTCTGGTCTGAATTGAAGTGACTCTTCAGCCCACTTCATGTAATGATAAGGAGCAGTGTCTTGGCTTTCTTTTCTGTATCCTATAAGGCCTTGCATACAGTGCCTTGCTGAGGCTTGACTGAATCAGTAACTAGATATCACATTCATTTTGGTTTGGTGTTCTTAATACCTAATGGCTCTAAATGTTGTAAGTCAGTATTGATGTACAAACTAGTCTTTAGGGGAGGATGGTACTTACTATATGAGAGGGATTTTCAAAAGTTCATGGAAATGCGGGAACCAGCAGTTAGCGTAATGGCTATGTCGCTGGACTCCCATGTAGTCGACCGCGGTTCGTGTCCCGGACCCGGTGGCTGAAAACTCACGCCGGGCGCGTGTGCGTGCATGCCCAAGATCCTGAGAGGAGAATGGAGGAGAAGGGATTGCGGCATGACCATCCCCCCGAGGGGTGATTTCTCGCTTTCTGTCTCTATGTCTCTCTCTGTCTGTCTGGTGAGCGCACGCGCCCTACAGTGAAAATCTCTCCAAAAAAAAAAAAAGTTCATGGAAATGCATGCTATAAAAAAATTATGAGAACAGCAGGTGGAGTAGTGGTTAAGGTACTGAATTCCCACATGGCCAACAATGGTTCAAGTCCCAGATCTGATAGCTTGAAAATCACAGCAAATAAATAAACAAATACATAAATGTTTTAAAAACTACACATGGATTTCCTTTTTTTGCATCAAAATTAACTTGTACTTTAATTCATTTTTTTCTACAGATTTTTTAAAAAGATTTTTTTAACTTTATTTATTTAATTTGACCAGAGAGGGACATAGTGAGCAAGAGAGAGAGAGAGAGGGAAAGTGAGAAAGCAAGCTGCAAGGTCCAGGACTCAAACCATGGTCAGCTATATGGGAATCCAGTGCTCTTAACCACCACGCCATCTGCCGGTCCCTTTTTCTACAGATTTTTTTGAAGAATATATATACATATATTCTGTAATTTGCTGTTTCAAGCCATTGTACTTTAATTTGAAAAAGCATATACATATGCACTATCATTTAACACAGTTTCAATGATATGCAATGGACAGAAAATAGTTTTACTATTAGGAATTCAAAAGAGGATTTATGATAGAAAAAATAAATCCTTTTAGAAGTGGTATCACTCCAAATAGATACAGTTGATTTGAGATTATTCTGATCTCTTAGGTGAGAGAGGCATTTGATATAGTTATTCCCACCAACTGGATGATGTTGAGACCATAGAAACAGACTACCACCGCTCCCTTTCTTTTTCTTTTTTAAAGAGATTTTTGCTACAGGGTGTGTATGCTTGACAGAGAGACACAGACAGAAACTGAGAAATCACCCCCTAGGGAGAATGGCCACACCTAAATCCCTTCTCCTCCATTCTCTCAGGATTTGGGGCACACACACACATGCACCTAGCATGAGTTTCAAGGGGCAAAGTCCAGCACTCAAACCACAGTTGGCCATGTGGGAGTCCAGCACCTTAACCACTATGCCACTGGTTGGCCCCCACGATTCTCTTTCAAGATCAATCTAGAGAATTAACAAGGGCCAGCCCCATAGTCTAGTGATTAAGGGAACCAGATCCCACGTGGTTGACTGCAACTCAAATCCCAGTCCAGAGGCTTGGAAAAACAGGCATGTGTGCCAGAATCCCAAGAGGATATAAAAACGGAAAAGGAATTGTAGCATGACCACACCATTTTTTTGGGGGGATGCCCTCTCTCTCTCTCTTTGGTGAGTGCATAGGCCCTCTAGTAATTAAAAAAAGAGTGAGAAAAAGAATAAGGAACTCCATTATTTTGCTTGTTTTCTTTTTCCTCTCTTTCTTTCTTTATTTCTTCTTTCTTTTTTATTTGCTGCAGGGCGTGTGTGCTTCCAAGGGTGGGAAGGGAGAGAGAGAATGAGAAATTGAGAAAGCACCCCTCACCCCAGGGGTAATGGTCATGCTGCAATCCCTTCTCTTCCATTCTCTTCTTGGGATTTTAGGCACACACCACATGTGTCTGGTATATTATTCTTTAAAAAAAAAAAGAATTATTTTATTTAACTTTATTTATCTATTTGACATTTATTTATCTTAATTTGACCAGAGAGGGATAGAGTTAGAGAAAGTGAGAAAGCAAGCTGCCAGGTCCGAGACTCGAACCACAGTCAACTGTGTGGGAGTTCAGTACCTTAACCACCATGCCACCTGCTGGTCCCAGTGTCTGGTGTATTTCTCAAGTTGCCAAGTCAGAGACTCAAACTGTGCTGTCAGTCATGTGACATCCACCTGCCTTAACCACCACGCCACTGGCTGGTCTGCAACTTTAACCTTGGTTTGATGACAATCCTAATTTAGGAAGCTAGAAAGGTTCTATTGGTCTTTAAAAGTCTGGCTTTTGGGACCTACAGATGTTGTAATAGTGATGTCGCTGGACTCCCACATAGTTGACCATGTTCAAGTCCTAAACCTGATGGCTTAAAACTCATGCTGGGTGCATGTGTGTGCGTGCCCAAGTTCCTGAAAGGAGAATGGAGGAGAAGGGGTTGCGATGTGGCCATACCCCCTTGGGGATGATTTCTCACTTTCTGTCTCTATGCCTCTGTCTCTCTAGCAAGCACACATGCACTATAGTAAAAGTCTCTTTTAAAAAAAAAAAAAGCCTGACTTTGTTCTTCTTCTAAAAATAGAATCAGAGTTTATGCCTCTTGGTGGACTTTCCCAATTGCCCAATGCTGATTCAGGCTGGAGCTTTGGTGGAGCCTTGGTGGCTGTGAGTTTTTACAAATAGTCAGGAACACCCTCTGCTAATGGACCCTGGTTAGTTAGAAGTAACTTGGTTGATGGTAGAACTCAAAATAACAGATTCCAATTGCCAAAACCAAATAGTAGTCATAACAGATGGCCTCTGCAGAAAGTTCCCTGGTCCTTACTCAAGACTGGCATCTGAAGGAAGCCACCTTCCTTTTTTCAGTGGTGACGTGACCACTCTCCAATATATCAACCATAACACAGTGGTCTTCAGTTTTGACCCTTCCCACATCCATTCTCACAGATGCGTTTAACAATTTTGTTGGATGAACTTGTTCAGCCAGGGCAGCTGCAATGTGTCTGACAATGCTTTCACGTTGATTATCTATTTTGATTTGCTCCCCTCACCCAACCTGAAAGATAGGTGAAGACATAGATTCTAACTAAATTAACTGACTGGCAACAGGATAATTAGCCACAATGTTTGAACTGGCTTATTCCTGCCTACTCACACATTCACAATAAAAGCAATTTTCTTAACTACATGTTCAAGGCAAACAAGGGTCACCTGGTATGGATGTAGCTGTTGAGAGTTAGCTGAGCCTCGTCTTGAAGAGCTGCAATGGCGGCAGCATTCCGGAAACTTCTCAGTTCAGAACCACTGTGTGTAGGAACTAGAAATGAAGACCAGGAAACTGTGACATGCTGCACAGGGAATGCTGGGGTAACACATCCCTCTGGAAGTGAATTCCCTGCAGGAGAGCATGGAGATCCCCACAGCCACAGAACATGGAACTAGCCAGGGAGTATCGGCTCCCTTGAAAATAAACACCTCTTTTTGTAAAGGTGAGTCTGGACTTCGAGGTGGCTGAATTAGTGAGGAAGCAAAACTGGGAAACAAGAGACAGGGTTCTGTGTCTGCTTACCAGCTTTGAAAGTGACGATGCATTTTAGACAGGCAAATTCAGTAGCATCTAACCGGAGCTGTCTAAATCGAGCCACCACCTCTTGTAAAGCCTGTATTTCAGATATGATCTTGTTCAGCTTCTGGGAATCTGTGTTGTCACCATTCATGCCTAGAATAAAAATATGGGATAAATACTCTACTATGAAGGCATTTTCATGATTTAATATTGATTTTTGACAAAATTCTGCATATCAATATCTATTCAATTGTCACTCTAAGATATCTGATTCTATGTAAACTGGCTATATTGTATGAAAGTTAATATAAAATCTTCTCTTGGATGATAACAAACACAGTAATTTGCATTTAAATAACAATGCAAGCAGTCATGAATACAACAAAACAACATTATTTGCATTTAAATATAGATTTATAAATGACAGGTATACTCTATTGTTCAGCA